AAAAAAAAAAACCCCCCCCCCCCCCCCCCCCAAATAATTGTTTGGGCTTGATCCAAATGGATTTTTTTTAGTGAACTAAAAAAACCATAAAAAATAATTAAAAGTATTTCAACCTGAATCATAGAATCATGGAAAATAAGGGTTGAAAGAGACCTCAGGAGGTCATCTAGTCCAGCCCCCTGATCACGGGCAGGGCCATCCCCAACTAGATCATCCCAGCCAGGGCTTTGTCTAGACGGGCCTTAAAAACCTCCAAGGATGCAGATTTCCCCACCTCTCTAGGGAACTTGTTCCAATGCTTCACCACCTTCCTAGTGAGAAAGTTTTTCCTAATATTTAACCTAAACTTCCCTTGCTGCAACTTGAGCCCATTGCTCCTTATTATGTCATCTGCCACCGCTGAGAAAAGTCCAGCTCCATCCTCTTTGTAACCATCCTTCAGGTAGTTGAAGGCTGCTATTAAATCCCCTCTCAGTCTTCTCTTCTCCAGATTAAATAGCCCAGTTCCCTCAGCCTCTCCTCAGAAGTCATGTCCCCCAGTCCCTGAACCATTTCCGATGCCCTCCACTGGACTCTCTCCAGTTTGTCCACACCCTTTCTGTAGTGGAGGGCCCAAAAGTGGATACAGTACTCTACATGTGGCCTCACCAGTGCTGCGTAGAGGGGAATAATCTCTTCCCTCAATCTGCTGGCAATTCTCCTACCAATGCAGCCCAGTATGCCGTTGGCCTTCTTGGCAACAAGGGCACACTGCTGGCTCATATTCAGCATACTGTCCATTGTAGCCCCCAGGTCCTTTTCTGCAGAGCTGCTGCCCAGCCAGTCAGCCCCCAGCCTGTCCTGCTGCATGGGATTGTACCGTCCTAAGTGCAGGACTTTGCACTCATCCTTGTTGAACTTCATCAGATTTCTTTTGACCCAATTCTCCCATTTGTTGAGGTCTCTCTGAATCCTAGCCCTACCCTCCAGCATATCTACCAAAAGCCCCAGCTTGGTGTCATCTGCCAACTTGCTGAGGGTGCACTCTATGCCATCTTCCAGATCATTAATTAAGATATTGAACAAAACTGGCTGATGGCCAACCCCTGGAGCACTCCACTTGATACCAACTGCCAACTAGAGCTCGAGGCACTGAGGCTGATGATCCGGCCAACTTTGTATCCACCTTACAGTCCTTTCACCCAACCCATACTTCCTCAGCTTGCTTGCAAAAATGCTATGCAAGACCACATCAAAAGCCTTTCTAAAGTAAAGGTATACCAAGTCCACTCTCCCTACAACCACAGAAGGCAATCTGGTTGGTCACACATGAAAATATTGTTCTGTGTTCTAGTTATTTAGCTCTTTTTTACCCCCATATATATATATATATATACACACACACACACACACACACACACACACACACACACACACACACACACACATATAGACACATATACACACACGCACATATATACACATACATACATATATTAATTTATTTATTTAAAGAGGTCTATTTTCAAAGCAAAATATCTTCTATAATAAAAAGTCAAACTGTTTCATATGGAAATTTCCCAGCATTTTTTTTCAGTCTGACTTTGATTGGGTTTGTGGATAGTGCCGGTCCCCAACCTTGAATTTTTTGACAAATTTGCTATTCACTGGTAGTGGGTCTAAAAACTACAAGACAGTAGAGAAGTGAGTGTGCATGCATGCAGGTCTCTTTGGAGAAGCCAGCTTTTAATTACTGTTCTTCCTTCAGAAGCAATCCTTGTTCATCCTGCTTTTTCTTGAGATTCCTGATCATGGGATATGTTCACAAATCTGTAGGTAGTATCTCAGCCTGTGCTGCACTATGCACTTGTCAGATGTAGCTAAGAATTTGGGCTGCTGTTTTGAAACGGGCACATAGCCTCTATTCCTTCCCTCAAAGAACTGTTAACAATAGACCACGAACAATGAAAGCGTACACACACGCCCGCACATAAATACGTCTCCAAATTGAAGCCACTGAACTAATAAGAAGTGTAGTGGGTTTCACCGTTCAGTCCCTCTCATTCTTTATTCCACTGTGTTCCCCATTTTTTTTTAACTTATAAATTGTCTGTTTAGATTTTAAGCTCCCAAGGAGAGGGCACAGTCTTCATACTTGTCTTTAAAATACCTAACACATTATCTAAACAGCAGTAGCAATTTTGCTTTCTGACTTCGGTATCCTCCCTTGAATATAGGCTTCACATCCTGGCGGAGCGTTTTGCACCCACTAATTGACTTGCGTGGGTGAAGAGACAGAAAGCTAGGTTAATCAGGAAGGGAAAATAAAGGTTCAATTGAAAATGTCTCCATTCAGACCTTCTCATGACTCTAGTAGGAGTTAAATTACTTCCATTTAAAAAACTGAGAAGCTTCCTGTGAAGATGGGGGGGGGCGGGGGGCAGAAACAAATATATATATTAAAGCAAGCACTAGAAAAGGTTCGTAAACTGTTCCATGGCACTGCCTGAGGAAGGAAAAAATAGCAACTGATAGGTGATTTGAAACGTAAGATTTATCACTGGAAATATTTCTCTGCTGTGGCAAAGGACTGGTATTGAAATTCACTGCGGACTCCTTTGATAATCAGATGCAATTCACAACTCTGCAGGCAGGCTAAAAGACTATTATTCCTCGTTTAATAGGACTGGTTCAATTTACATGACATTTTTATTATGGCTGTAGAAAACCCACCTGGTAAGCAGGACTCATCTCTTTTTCCCCCTCCTTACAGTCTCTAACTTTTGGTGTGCTTCATTCAAGGGAGCACAGGTGTGGGTGATAGGAGAAGGCCCTTCTCACAGAGAAGGGATGTGATATCTTGATTTCCCTGCTGCAAAACAAACCAGTGGACCAAGCAACTGGACCATTTCACAACCCCCTAGATAAACCACCTCAGGCCCAATCCTATAAATCTTACTCATGCTGCATAGCAGTTGCTGATCCAAATACATCCATGGATTTGACTTCGGAAAACTCAGGGGTGCTCTCATGCTCTCAGAAAACAGCGCTAACTAATTCTCTTTCAATTAATAATAGTAATGGCAGGATTAGAGAGCTGAGGTTCATCCGAATGTTGCATGCTTCTGCATACAAAAATATCCCCTCAACAGCTACAGTAAGTTCAATAAAAGACCCAAGGAGACTGAAAAAAGCAAATTCAGATTATACTTGGAAAGCTCAGTAATATTCTTTTTGCCTTGTTGAAGCAAAGGGAAAAAAGTTGAAACTTTAGATCATTTGCAATGGAAAAAGACCTGGATATCCTTTCATCTGATTGTATCAGTGCCAAAACTGCTACAAGTTTCTCAGTATGAGCCGATACACATGCACGACACTGTACTAATGGTAAACATGGTAGAAAAAGTGTCAACAGACAGGGTCTGCCACCGCTAATTAACTTCTAAAGATCAATAATCATCAGTTGGAAAAACATCAATAACTGACTGAGTGGAAAAGATGGGCTGAGCTGCAGTGCTGCTGGAATGCTGTACAGAGTAGTTTCAGATAAATGAAATCTGATCCATCTGATATGAAGACCGCAGTTCTCACGATTAAGAAGTCAACATTTGCAAATAGCTCTTATGTGGCTGAAGTATTTATTTCAAAGTCTAAAAAAAAAAAGGGGGGCGAGATGCAGTACCCTAGAAAGCGGTGTTAAACCAGTGCCGAGTTCCTTTAATTTGCAAATGGTGCATCAAAGAGTGACTATATGGCAAACCGTTAGATTCACTGTTGAAAAGACTCACTTGAATTACTGTGGGTTCATAAACCCAGCTGTAAGAATTTTAGAGAAAAGTTAATTAAGGGCAAGAATGTGCAGTTGGAATAGAGATGACCAAATATGAACGCTACTTCTTTGTTTCTAACTGAGGAGACAGCACATATGATCTGTGCTAAGGTCTCCGAAAAAGTTAAATGCCAGCCACCACGTCCCTTCTGTAGTTACAAAATGGGTAGCCGAGTTCTTAAATTGCAAACGTAGAGGAACAACGAATCCTCGAAGTTCAGTTGTGTTCAGTGCACTGTAAGCGGGTTTATGCTGCTTGGGCACGACACTTAGTGAAGAGAAGCAGTGTGGAAATCTCTGGGAGGAAGCCACTTGTCTTTAGGATTAACATCGATAATGAAAGTAATGTCCATTTCTCCAGAGCTGCCATGAGGTCCAGTAGTAGTGGACAGTATTGTTACCATTAGAAGCTAAAAACAACCCCCAGACTGTAGCAAAACCCCTGGGTTTTTTTTGTTTGTTTGTTTTTTTTAAATGCACTCCCTCCCCTTCCCCAACCATTTCTGACTTTGTCTCTCCCTCTCTATTCCCTATGGATAAGTGTAAGTGAGCTAAGACATAGGATAAGCTTCAGCATTTTATTTTGGTAGCAAATTGTATTTGTTTTGTTTTTTCTCCTTATTTATATTGTATAATTATTATG